TGTCGTCAATATAGGTAGATATCACTAGAGCCTTGGTACAGACAGCAAATGCAGTTTGCTCAGGGAGCACAGTATCAAGAAGTGTCTCTTCCAGTTGCTCTTCAAGAGGACAGTCGGGTTTCACAGTGGATTCCCCACAAACAGGAACAAGAGGCACAAGCAGAGCAGCTTCTTTCTTTCAGCAGCTTCGCCAACTGAAAGCCAACACCATCTCCAAGCCTGCAAAATGTGTTCAAACAGAACAGCCATAAAAATCCCAGAGGTAAAAACAGTCAGGAGTTTTCCCTGAAGTGAGTTCAAGCAATCAAGATTTGCAATTATCTGGAACCATGCAGTTTCCAAGAAAAGCCTTCTTATAAAAACATAATCACCGTCCCTTCATTGACTGCTTAAAAAAATTCCAGTATCTCCATAATCTTGCAAACTCAAATCTGCAAAAGAATTAAATATGATGGCATCGTAACCAGATTAGTAATGCAGAAGGGCTGGGCAAATGATCAGAACCGTGAATTCAAAGCCTGACATGGTATAGCAACTGGGAAATTTTAATTTAGTTAATGATGAACATTAGAAATCTTTACAAAACAGCAAGCCTTATTCACGCAGACCATGTAGGTCTGCTTCTACTCTGAGTTCCTATGTTTTTACCTAACAACCAGATTGTCATTAAAAGCCTACATTGTTCACCAATACCCTTTAGCAAAGGAAATCTGCTGCCCACATGTGTATCCGGACCCCACAGGAAATTCACTGATTTTTGACTTCCATCCAAAGTGGCTTGGCAAGTCCCTGAATTTTCTCAGCATCACCATCTCAAAGGACAATCAAGATGGAAAATAAATGCTGCCTTTGCCAATGGAACCCACATTCTATAAAGAAGCAGAATCAGATCCACAGCATGGAAGAGGTGGGTGGAAGCTCTCCTGATCTCCACTCAGACCAAGAGTCACTGCATATCCATCTTCTGGCTTAATTAGGAATACAGGAAGGAGAAGTTGAATTGGGCCATTCAGCCCTTCAATATGATTGTGACAGTTCTGGTTGTGGTCTCAAAACCAAATCTTGAATCCTTGCATGTCCCTTAATTGGAATTTGGTACACTTGCATTGGGTGTAGGAATTGGGATATTACGTTGCGGCTGTGCAAGACATTGGTTAGGCCACTTTTGGAATGCCGTGTTCAGTTCTGGTCTCTCTGCTATACAAAAGATATTGTTAAACTTGAAAGGGTTCAGGAAAGATTTACAAGGATGCTGCCAGGGTTTCAGGGTTTGAGCTATTGGGAGAGGCTGAATAGACTGGGGCTATTTTTCCCTGCAGCGTCAGAGGCTGAGGGGTGACCTTATAGAGATTTATAAAGTCATGAGGGGCATAGATAGAGTGAATAACCAAGGTATTTTTCCCAGGGTAGGGGAGTCTAAAGCAAGAGGGCATAGGTTTAAGGTGAGAGGGGAAAGATTTAAAGGGGACCTGAGGAGCAATTTTTTTCATGCAGAGGGTGGTGTGTGTATGGAATGAACTGCCAGAGGAAGCGGTGGAGGCTGGTACAATTACAACATTTAAAAGGCATCTGGATGGGTGTATGATAGGAAGGGTTTAAAGGATATGGGCCAAATACTGGCAAATGGGACTAGTTAAATTTAGGATATCTGGTCAGCATGGACAAGTTGGACGGAAAGTTCTGTTTCCATGCTGTACAACTCTATGACTCTGTGTCTCCAATTCCCTTGTCCTTCAAAAATCTCGTGAACTCAGCCTTGACTAAATTCATTGAGCCCACCTCCACTATTTTCCAAGGACGAGAATTTTACAGATTAATAAATCTGCGAGAGAAAAAGAAAATCTTCATCTCTGTCTATCTTATTATTAATCCATGTTTCCAAGCTCTAGTTCCCCTCACAACAGGAAATATCTTCTCAGTATTCATCCAGTTGATTCCTCTCAGGATCTTATATGTTTTGGTAAGCTAATTCTGGACCATTCTGCTATATCCTTACAGAATTGTGATAGATTCCACTCTCCCATTCCTCCCCTCAAAAAACCATGTACATTTAACTCTGTAAACTGTTAGTTGGGGTCCTGACACTGGCATATTTCTCCATACATTTTGTGCTCTGGTGTCAAAGTGTCACAACATCAAGCATAAATTATGCGAATAAAATTTCTATAAAACTGTAAAACAGAGATAAAATGCCTTTTGAAGAATGGTTCTGTCTCTGTCGATGCATATCTCAGGATGTATCAAGTCAAGTTTGATTTACTCCATCTGCCCCAGCATTGTTTTCTATTCAAAAGCCAACCATTTCATTAGCCAATTAGATGAATCTTGTTTTCAGTCAATCACATTTTTCTTCCCAGCTCCACGATTTTTATAACGAATAAACAAAAATGTGAAAAGAAAGTTTTACAAGAAAGTCTTTTTTTTATTGTCACTAAAATTTTTTCTCCAGAGTTGCCAGCTGCAGTGTCCTAGAGTTTATTTTTTAATTCCTAGAGATTTCAGGACAGTCTGGGAGGGTTGGCAACTTTATTTTGAAAATTATCAACAACATGCAGTTCAAGTGCAAAAATTTAAATAGTAAGACCTGCATTTATGTAACACCGTTCACTTCCCAAAGTATTTTGCAGTCAATGAAGTGCTTGAAATGTAACCACTGTTATGATATAGAGAAATGCAGCTGCCAGTTGGCACACACACACAAAAATGATATAATATTGACCAAATAATCTTTTTGAGTGTTGGTTGATGTAAAAATATTGTCCAGGCCATAGGGGAGAAATCCCTTGCACTTCTTCCAACAACAATCTGGAATCTTTTATAGTCACCTGAGACATTTAATATTTCATCTAAAGGATAAATCAAATTTAAAACATTTCTAGTACAAAACCAACAATGAAAAGCACTGAAGTTGTTGAAGTTATTCCAGAAAGAACATAAAATTCAAGAGGACCAATTGATACAGGACAGTAAAATGAAATGCAATTCCATATTTTGTCTGCTAAAATATTTAGTACAATATTTAAGAGGACAGATATTTCTTGGCAACACAGTGAAATGGATAATGTGGAACCCAAATATCTAAAAAGTACTCACGCACACAGTTGAGAGTCTCTTACCAGATTTTGTTTTCCTTTTTCATTCATGGCATGTAGATGGTCACTGGCTCGGCCAGTATTCATTTCCCGTTACTCTTTGCCATTGAGAAGGTGGTGGTGGGCTGCCTTCTTGAACTGGTGGAGTCCATTTGCTGTAGGTTGACCCACAATACCGTTAGGGACAGAATTTTGGAATTTTGACCAAATGACACTGAGGGAGAGGTGATATATTTCCAAGTCAGGATGGTGAGTGGCTTGGAGGCAAACTTGCACAGATGGTGTTCCCTTGTATCTGCTGCCCTAGCCCTTCCAAATCAAAGTCATCTTGGGTTTGGAAGGTCCTGTCTAAGGATCTTTGGTGAGTTTCTGTGGTGCGTATTGTACATAGTACATACTGCTGCCACTGAGCATCGGTAGTGGAGGGAGTGACTGTTTGTTATAACACAGTGAGCAGCTGGAGGAACACAGCAGGCCGGGCAGCATCAGAGGAGCAGGAAAGCTGACGTTTCGGGTCTGGACCCTTCAGTTTACCTGCTCCTCTGATGCTGCCTGGCGTGCTGTGTTCCTCCAGCTCCACACTGTGTTATCTCTGACTCCAGCATCTGCTGTTCTTACTATCTCTGAGTGAATGTTTCTTGATGGGTTACCAGTCAAATAGGTTACTTGGTCCAGGATGGTGTCAAGCTTCTGAATGTTGTTGGAACTGCAGCCACCCAGGTAAGTGGGGAGCATTCTGTCACAGTCCTAACTTGTGCCTTGCAGATGGTAGAGAGGCTTTGAGGAGTCAGGAGGTGAGTTCCTCGCTGCAGGATCCTTTGCTTCTGATTCCTAGTTTTCAAGTTAGTATACATTATCATCGAAGAATGCTTTTTTATTCATTTTCGCAAAAACAAATTCACCAGGTTTCTTGTCAATATTTCTTCTCGGAATTGGATAAGAGGTGGGTAATCCTGGGAAATTGGGCCTGTAGACTTCTGTTAAGGCTAATGCTCCTGTTAACAGTTGCAAGTACATTGACTCCACTGTAACACAGACTTAACATCTCCCTGAGGAGCATAGCCATTTTCTGGTCTTTAGGCAACTGTTGAATTTCAGTTTGAGCTCTCATTAATATTACTTCAGACACTGGAAGTTCCCTACAAATAGCACAATGCTTTCCTTCACCTTCCTAGCCCCAGCATGGACATACATCAACCCTACTCAATCACGGTCTCAACACTTAATAGGTTTAGAGGTTCAGTAGTTGTCAACATTGACCAGAAACATAAATGCTGTGGCTACAAGGGCAGCTCAGGATCTGGGCATACTGTGACAAAAAGGCTCACCGGAGTTCTGAGGAAGGGTCACCGGACCCGAAACGTTAACTCGGTTTTTTTCCTTCACAGATACTGGCAGACCTGCTGAGCTTTTCCAGCAACTTTGTTTTTGTTCCTGTTAACAAATAGTCTCCTATTACACACAACCCATTGTTAGCCACTAACAGTCCCCATTAACAGATATTCACCCTCCTAGCCAAATTGGTATCTACTCCTTTGTCTGTCCAACTGTTCTGTCTCTTTGGGCTCTATCCCCACCGATCATTTACTCCTTAACCTCTCTCCCCACCCTGTCTTCTGAATATAAACTGACGTTTTCCCAGCTACCATCCAGTTCTGAGGAAGGGTCACCGGACTCAAAATGTTAGCTCTGATTTTTTTTCACAGATGCTGCCAGACCTGCTGAACTTTTCCAGCAACTTCTGTTTTTGACCCTTGTATGTTATTGTGCTCATAAGTACAAACATTCTTAAGTCCAACATTCATTAATCAGGGACCCCTGTATTACCTCAAATCACTTCATACAATTTGGGAAGATTTGACACTTATTCAAGCAATTAATACCTTACTGTTTGTTTGCTGTCCATAGGCACTTGAATTCTGCACATTTTCAATGCAATTGGATGAAGTTGCTCTTGTAATCTCTGACGGACAATATGCCTATGGTCACACTGGGAGGTAAGGCTGTATTTTCATATGCCTGTTGAGGAATAGTGGCTGAGACGTGCCAAAAGGTTGAACTTCCAAGAAATTGGTAGAACAGAAGATTATAAAGAAGACTCAAAAATGTGGGAAAAAGTCAAAATGGTCATCAGCAGTTGACTCATTTCTGTATTTTGGTTCATGTTGATATGTAAAATATGACTATGAGCTTCTATTTATACTAAAGAACTCATTAAGTATTGAAGTGCAAGAGGTTTCATGTAAAGTAGCAGAGGTGGAAAGCCTTAGTAAGGTAGCCAGATGTAGCTTATAATGTTATTAAAGTGACCACTGCCTGTGAGTGAATGCAGAAAAACACAGGTTTTTCTAATATATGTCTGTTTGTATAGTCTCAAAATATTTAAGTTATTAACATTTAAATAATCTTTCTCTGAAAGGAAGTTGGTCGATGAGATTGTGTCATTGAGTGGGTTAATATTCCTGCTGAGTCTGACCCTTTCTAACCTCAAAAACACATGATGTGTTATTTCTAAATGTTTTCTAGCTAATCCACAATTATTATACCATTCTGATAAAACTCTCAGTTGCATCCATTGCATTTAACCGAATATTACTGCTGAATATGTTGCACTTAGATCCAAATTAGTATCATAGAACAAAGAAGTGTATATTTCATCAGTATAGACAACTGAAAAGGAATAAGTAACTTTTTTTCATTTTATTACTTCCTGTGAATGCTAGTTCGATACCTTGGTGAATTATCATGTCTAATCCTAATAGTACTGCAACTTGCAATAACCTAATTGCTAAAGTGTGACTTAGTGGTTGGGTAGAAGAGCATTCAATGATAGTACAGTGTTGTATCACCTCAATGACAGTGTTTTAGCTGTGCGAAAGCTGCAAAATCATTTTACCATGGCTATTCTTAATTAACATTTTGATGATCACACTTCTCAAATTTAGACACCCAGTTGAGCCAACAGTAATATATTGCCTTGGAAATGCTTTGTTTGCACAGCCAGCATATTCCAATATATTTACCAAAAGGCTGATTTCTGCAGCACTTGTATCCAACCACCATTTTACCCTTGACCTGTGAATATTTTCTATCCAGTCAGATGGGGCCAAATGCACAAGAGTGTGTGTGTCTTGATATCCTTCAAATTGCTTCCCATTTCTACAAAGCATCTTGTTCTTATGCTAATATTTCCATCTTATGCCTGCTGCAGTGCTCCAACACAAGCCTAAGGAACAGCATGTCACTTTCCACTTTAAAGTTTTCGAGACTCAAATTTGAGTTCAACAACTTCAGAACATGAACATTGTCCATCACCTCTGCCATGTCTTGATGACCTGAGTTTGTTCTCAGCAAAGGAGATCAGTTTTCAATTATTTACATGTTATCAGTCTATTATGGAGTCAGTTAACTCAGTTGGATGGACAGCTGGCCGGTGAAATAAAGTGTCACCAATAACACAGGGTTCAGTTCCCATACCAGCTCACGTTACCATGAAGGTCCCACTTTCTCAACCTCACCCCTTGCCTAAAGAGTAGTGACCCTCAGGTTAAAACCATCCATAGTCATCTCTCCGTAATGAGAAAGCAGCCCTCTAGGACTGTGGCGATTTTACCTATTAACACCTATGATACACCTACATCTCTTCTTTATTACCATTGGCAGTCATTTTGTCTCTTGTTCTCACTGCTTGTTCCATTTGTGATGATTCTGGGGCTTTATGTTTTGTCCTGGTCTCTTTTAGAGAGAGATTGGAGGACAGGTAACAAGCAGTCTATAGCTGGAACAATAGAAGCAGCCTGAATGGGTGTGGTCAAGCTCCGACCCACAGAACGAGAATTTTTAGTTTCAGCATACAGCAAGTGTTGTTGGGCTTTCAGCAGGGTTGGAAGCTGCAGTAAATCTCTCCCACCTGCTACATTTTCTCAGAACTCTCGATGTTCTTCCTCTTGGGCTGCTCGAGTTGCATGTGAGACAATCAGTGTTCTGCATTTCATAAAAACTGAAAGAACAGCAGATGCTGTAAATCAGGAACAGAAACAGAAGTTGCTAATAAAGCTCAGCAGGTCTGGCAGCATCTGTGAAGAAAAAAATCAGAGTTAACGTTTCAGGTGTGGAGACCCTTCCTCAGTTCTATATTGGGAGAAATAATGAAAAAGGAGACACAGGGTAGAATCTTCCAGTTGTGGAGGTGGCAGACATGGAGGTGGGAAGTCAACTGAATTGGCTCAGTAACAGCTCAGAGCCCCACTACCTTCCTACCTCTGACCAAATTAAACTCTGGGCAGGAAAGCCCAAGCTGCACCTTCCTCCTCTGTCTACAGTTGAGGACTTAATGTCGTCTGTGAAGGGCTCATTTCCACCTATATCAGCTCCAAGTGGGATGAAGAAGGTGGGCCCCACCTAACTGCTAAATCAGGCTGGGTAACCTGTCAATTGTGAGGGAGTATTTTGATCTGCGCTAATTTGTAAGTGATTGAGGGACTAAACACAGGGCAGCAAGTTGACCACTGAGATGGATCCTCCTGCCTTGTTTCCAAACTCATGCCCCCTCTCTCTGTAACTCCCAATCCCAGAAACCCTCCCAACTTCCCCCAAAAACACTTACCTGACACCTTGTCACTTTTGATCTTGGTTCATCACTGTAAACGCTCACTGTCTCCAGCACTGCTGCAAAATGCCAGCAGTGTGCCCCCTGTGTCTCCACTGGAAGAGCAGGTACACTTAAATTAATTAAAGAAGCTGCTGTAACTGGTTGCACTCTAACTGGGTGAGCTAAGCGTTTTGTGTTAGGAGTGTATAAATCTATCTAACCTGAGTGTGACTTACAATAGAATGCTAGGAAATGGGTGATTAGGAGAGTTTGAGGAGGATTCTGAAAGAGGTGCTTTTTGGCTTTCTCTAACCTTTTCAGCTTCCAGCATTGATTCTTACTTTGCAACAGGAGAGGAAGCCAATTATTGATAAATAATTGGTAAAAAATACTGATATGTGACTAATGTTTACTCTGTTCCTAAGTTTCAAAGTAGTTTAAATTAATAAAATTATATAAACACAAAATTAAACATATAATTGAATAAAAAAGATTAAGTAGTTAATTAGGAACAAAAACAAAGTTGTTGGAAAAGCTCAGCAGGTCTGGCAGCATCTGTGAAGGAAGAAAACAGAGTTAATGTTTCGGGTCCGGTGACCCTTCCTTAGAACTTCTCTGTTTTTTCCTTCACAGATGCTGAGCTTTTCCAGCAACTTTGTTTTTGTTCCTGGTTTACAGCATCCGCAGTTCTTTTGGTTTTTATTTAAATAGTTAATTAGAAGACATTAAGGATGGCAGGGTGGGTAATATGACATATCTGAAGTATGTGGAAGCTCATGGAAACTCATTTGCTCCAAGGCAGACATGTATAATAAGTGTTTAAGCTCGAGGAAGATTTGGCTTATGAACTGGAGGCTCAGCTACAGACATTGTGAGACAGCAGAAATCCACCAGGGTTATTTCTAGTAGGAGTCAGTCATATCAGTTAGGGTTATGCTTTCTGATTTCCTCAGTGTTCAGGGACAGGAGAATGTGACAGGAGGAGTGAGACAGGAAAGGGGACTGAGTTGATAGGGGTGCAGGATCCTCAACTCTTGCAATAGTCCAAGAGGTTTGAAGTTCTTTCTGGTAGCTTGAATGGGTTGGCCCCATGATGGGGACAGCATGGTGGCTCAGTGGTTAGCACTGCTGCCTCACAGTGCCAGGGACCTGGGTTCGATTCCAGCCTCGGGTGACTGTCTGTGTGGAGTTTGCACATTCTCCCTGTGTTTGCATGGGTTCCCTCCCACAATCCAAAGATGTGAAGTTTATTTAGATTGGCCATGCCAAATTGCCCATGGTGTCTAGGGTGGGATATGCAGGGATGGGTCAGGGTGGTGGGAGGGTCAATGTGGGCTCAATGAGCCAAATGGCCTGCTTCCACACTGTAGGGATTCTATGGATGAGCTAACTGACCACAGCCCCGTGGTACCAAAAGGAAGGGTAACAAAAAAGAATGCACTGTTAGGAGAGGACAATTTGCCCAGAGGGATTGACAGCATTCTCTGAAGCAAAAAGCAACAATATAGACAGCTGCACTGTCTGCTCAGTGCCGGAGCTTGGAACAACAGCTTAGAGCTGGAGACGAGTTGAAGGGGATGATCTAGTCATTGTAACCCATGCAGGAATGGCTAAGGTCTGAGAAGTGTTGTGAAACAGAGAGACCTAGGAATAGTTCATTGAAAGCAATGTCCCAGGTGGACAGGATGGTGAAGAAGGCATTTAGCATGCTGGCCTTCATCTGTCAAGGAATTGAGTATAGGAGGCATTGAGTATAGGAGTTGGGACATTATGTCACGGTTGTATAAGTCGTTGGTAAGGCCACGCTTGGAGTATTGTGTACAGATTTGGTCACCCTGTTATAGGAAAGACATAGTTAAACTGGAAAGTGGGCAAACAAGGACGTTGCCAGGACTAGTAGGCCTGAGTTAGAGGGAGAGGTTGGCCAGGATAGGAATTTATTCCTTGGAATGCAGGAGAATGAGGGGTGACCTTATTGAGGTACTTAAAATCATGAGGCACGTAGATAGGATGATTTTTCCCAGGGATGGGGAATTGAAAACTAGAGGGCATAGGTTTAAGGTGAGAGCAGAAAGGACCTGAGGGGCAAATTCTTCACACAGAGGGTGGTGCGTATATGGAATGGGCTGCCAGAGAAAGCAGTTGAGGCAGGTACAATAGTAACATTTTAAAAAATTTGAATAGGTACATGGATGAGAAGGGTTTAGAGGGATATGGACGAAATGCAGGCAATTGGAACTGGTTGTGTGGGCACCATTGATAATATCATGAGCCAATTGCCTCCCCACATGGACCAGTTTGGGCCGAAGGGCCTGGTTCAATTCTGTGTTACTCTATTACTTAATGACTCTATGACTCTATAACATAGTCAAGGCAAACAAGGAGGTTCCGCATGGCAATTGTAAG